TAGACAAACACTTGACTGGGATGGTTGAGTCAGAAATGATCCTTGATCACGGGGTTAGACTAGATGACCTCTTGCGGTCTCTTCCAGCTCTATTTTGCTATGATTCTAGGATCATGTGAAACATTGAGAACAGTTTCCCCTAGTATACATAGGCAGGATATATATATTATGCTAAGTGTTAAGTTGGTGTGACCCTAGTACCTGATCTGTAATTCAAATCTGTTAGCTGATCATTGACAGTAAATGGGTGTGAGCTCAATGCTCAATTGTGAAGCTAATGCAATTAATTAGGATAAGTTTGTGAGATGTTGCCATGGCCCTGATTGTGATGAGTAGGTTAATATACTCATTATGGATAATTCAACCTGGTTTATAGCTCCATTGAAGTCAGTCGTTCTCAATTCCTCCAGGGCTGAAATTGGTCCCAACAAAATGACTGAGCTATATGATTTGAACCACATACCTTGGGGATCTGTACAAAGGGTCTTGTTGACTTCTGTGTGAGCTGCATGTATACAGAAATGTTACTGTAAAATGACTGACAAATGGCCTTTCGTTTGCTGGTGGGAAAGACATTTTCATCCCATGAACAGAACAATGAAAAACAATGGTCTCAGGTGAGTGATGCTCAGCCTCTGGTTCCAGGTCCCCAAGTAGTGTTTCAAACTGTTTCATGTGGTCTTCCAGGAACTCAAACCTGAATATCATCTTATGTTTGTTACTGAAGTACCCTCCCATAGTACCTGTACACTATACAGGTAGTATAGCAGTATACGCAGCAGCTATCAGAATTCATCTTGGCCAGACCAGATGCTTAAAGGAGGTGAGTGAGCATGCACCCTACATCAAAATGAATGGCAGCATTAGCCAGGAGTTGGAAGAGGAACTCAGGAGCACTGGAGCCACATAAATAATGTGCTAAAGACTCCTAAGCACTTAATTCACATAAATAACGAATAATAGTAAATAATGGCTGTATCTATACGTGACTGTATGTCAGCACAGCAATACACTATGGCAACAAAACCCGTAACGTCCATGGACAAAACCCGTGACGATGCAGTTACGTCACCATAGCAATGTGTTCCCTCATTATAGCATGTTGCTACAGTGACATAGTGCCTAAAAATAACCATGCATGGCACACATGGTGCAGTAACAACAGCACCATAGTGGCACGTGTAGATGCGCTCAGTAAGCGTTATCCCTTTCATAGCTTTTGCATCCTTTCATGACCTTCATAGCTCTCTGTTTCAGAAGTCACCAGGACCCTGTCAGAGAACAGTGTGTATATGTAGCTAGGATTTACCTATATGTTTGGCTCTGACTGGCTGTTTGTTTCAGGTTGTGTTTGCTGTGCAAAGAGCAAAAATACAGCAGTTTCCATCACTGTGTGACATTGGATAAGTCATTTCTGGTTGTTGTGCCTCAGTTTCCCTAACTTTAAATGAAAATAAAGATCCTTACCTACCTTAGTATAACATTCTGAGGGCTTAAGATGAGAATCTCTCTAAATAGGAAAAATATTATTATTGTTATGATGAACTGCAAGCTAACAGGAATGCAGGCATCCATTGCAAGAATGGGAATAATCTGTATTCTGAACTGATTACAAAATCCAAATCAGAACTTAATCTGAAACTGTATTCTGAATCTAGCTTGAATAACCATATTCATTACAATCTTGAGCTCCTAATGAGTTATGGAAAGCTGACACCTCTGCTAAATGCTTATGCTGTAGCCTAATGCAATGCAGCAACTATGTTCACCACTTGGTGGTGCCAGTTGCATGAGAAAAACAGATACCCACTTTGCAGCAGTCCTGCACAAATTTAGCAGTTATGCTTTTGCTGGAATCTAACCACAATAGATGCCCAAGCTCTAGCAATTCAAGACGAATTAAAATCTCGACTTAGGGCCAGTATCCACATGAGCCAGCTTCCCTACCTGTCATTTCATGTGTGCTTGGGAGGTAAAGCGTTTGGCGACACATATAGGAACTCAAATGGTTATTTGATAAACAAATTGTTGCTGTAGAGTGCCTTATGGCTGGCACTAAAACTCTGGCTTCAGGGAGAGGGAGCAGTTAGCTAACTACATCAGCGAAGTCCTGAGTGAGCACCTCAGAGGGACAGACTGGTTAAACTACTTACCAACCTCCCCCCCACCCCTCACAACCCAACAGACTGCATCCTTGGTGAACTGCACCTGCTGTTTCAAGATAAACCTGGAGAGTGTAGCCTGTGTCTATGGAGAGAGATTTTGATTGATATCTGCTGTTTCAGCCTGTCTTGAAAAGCCTTTGAAAAGGTCTCTCCAAGAGCTAGTGGGTGAATAGTACCAGTCAGGTTGTTAGGAAATCCAGATAGAAGGGAGATAGGAAAGGCAGCAGGGCCCAGGAGAGCCATTCTGGTGAAGGGGCTAACATTTTCGAGAGGTTAATAGCTCAGTTGCAAGATTTCACTTCCTTCTGACACTTGCTATAGTTTGTCTTAGCCTGCGAAGAATCTATGTGTTTTCTTTTTCGCTATGGACCCAATCCTGACTTTTCCATTCACATGCCTCTCAAGCATGAGATATAATAGCACTTGCATCACCAGGTGCTAATTCTCATTTCAGGGAGAATTTTGCCTCAGTCAGAGTTTGAGTAGGGAGGCCAGGATTTGGCTGTGCATGCAGTCTGCATCATTGTGCATAATTTGTTTGGGGGTGGCTCATTGAGCCCAGTTACTGGGGTGCTGAAGGTTGTTTAGTTGCCATCTGCTCTGGTACATGGTGCAATTTGAACTGATTATTCAGAAATAGCTACACTTCTCTAAGCGTCATCCATTTAGCAGAGCCAAAGGCAAATGCTCTATTGTGGTATTGGAGCTGGGAAGTTTGCAACTTTCCTATCTAATTTTCCAGTAACAAGTAAGTTGCCCTCTGGCCTCGTATAAAAAGTCTTAAATAACCTCTTAGGGAGCACACTGTAGTTTGAAATAGAGGCAATGCTGGAAAATGCAAATTGGGTGACCCAGGACTTCCTTTGGCTCTGCCAGTGGTCTGCTTTATCTGGGCAAGTGACTTGATCTCTCCATATCTCACTTTCCCTCTCGATAAAATGAAGATAACAATATTTTCTTTGATTTATTAAGTACTTTCAGTTCTTTGGATAAAAATTGCTATAAAGAGCAAGGTACTGTTAGTAACTAGCCTAGGAAATTTGGGCTCAAATTTGGACTCTTCGGTCTTGATCACAAGTGGGCTTGTCTATACCATAGCAGCCATACATCTCAGAGATCACAGGTCTGGGTATGCTTGCCTGCCCTTGTCTGGTGATGCACTCCAGAGCCAAACATTTGCCAGTGGCTTTGTCTACTTCTGCATTGGACTACTTCTACTGTGCATTATTGTGACTGGCAAAAACCGCGTTAATGCGCTGTGCAGTAGATTAATCCAATGGGCTTTACAAGTCACACAAAAAGCATTAATCTGTGTTAATGTGCAGTAGCTTTAGTCCAATGGGCATTAAGTGTCATTTAATAAGCGTTCATCTGCGCTAATGCGCAGTAGTGCTGATTGTGGTGTATTAAGTTAATACCTGTCATTACAGGTACTAAACTTAATGTCCTTAAACTATGGTGCATTAATGAATGTTTAGACTCCAGCAGTTATCTGACCCCAGCAGTCTTTCCTGTCCAGAGTAGGGGGGCTGGACCTGATGGTCTCATGAGTTCCTTTCAGCCCTAAACTTCTGTGAATCTGTAGACGTGCCTAGGGAGTCTGTTCCAGACTCATCCCCGACACTTGTTGTCAAGCCCTCAGCCTGAGAGTCCTGGGGACAAATCCAGCCAACTAGCCCCCAAGCCCTGTGGAAGACACTTGACTGCATAAGTTGGGTCAATATAAACAGAGACCTAAGGCAATAATGAATGGACTGTAGCTTGTGTTTTTTACTAGCCCCTAGGGTGTGGGCAAGTGTGAAGATAAATTGGAATCCTGCAGAATACCTCTGCCTGGAGGAAGAGTCATTGCATGTGAAGGGACGTAGGTTTTATTTTGCTTTTCTTTTTTGTTAGTCTTCCAAGTTCTCATTCTTGGCTTGTGAACAAATGTCCTGTTTTGGGAAACTTGCTGTGTTGTTGCTAGAGTCTATTGTAGAGGTTCTGTGTAGAGGCAGTGATCATGGAGACATTGTTGTGTGACCAAAAGAAGAGTTTTCTCCAAAATTTACACTCTGTTTAGAGTTCATTCTTGAAGGAGAAAGGTTCCTTAGGCCAGGAATTGTGTGGGGATGATGCTCTCAGATTCCCAAAAAAGGGGATTGCCCTGCATGCTGTTTGTGACTGCATGTTATTGAGCACTGCTATATTGTATAAATTAAACAACTTACATAGTGATTATATCTCGTCTTTAAATATCAATTTCTCCTCGACTAAGAAGCCGACTTACAAGACACTGGTCATCTGCTATTATCTGTCAAAGAGTGACACTGTTATGGGATGCTGGTGCAAAAAAGGAAAGGACACCAGCGTGTGCTTCATATTGCACTTGCCAAATGGAAACACGATTTAAACAGGATTGAAAATACAAGTTAGTGTTTCAATAGGGCTGCTTCTGTGAAGAAAGGTGACCTGACTGAGTCACAGATTTTCCTACCCGGTTCAGATCTGAGTGAAGAAGTTAGCTCTGCAGCAATAAAGAGATCATCCAAATACAAAACTTTAGCTAAGTAATGGGGCAGATGCCCTGGGGAATTACTCGGCATACACATCTCAGAGCCTTGGAGTCTCTCATAGAGGACTCTGTTTTTATAAATTTCATGGTTAAGCCTCATCAATTACCAGGTGCCACCTGGAGTCAAGAGTTCTGTGTTGTGTGTGGCTGACAGTAGCTTGTGGTTAGCACCAGGGCGGTGTTGGGAGCTGGGAGGGACAGGGAAAGGGTGAGATAAACGGCCCCACAGTGAGCTTTAAAAAGCAGAGGGAACAGTGAGAGAGAGAGAGAGAGAGAGAGAGAGAGAGATCAATTTATCTATCTTGGAACAAACTGAACGGACAAACGGTGCTACAAACGGGCAGTGAGTGACAGGTAGGCTGACACTTTTAATGGCAGCATTCCAGTTGCCTGTGAGACCTGCAAAAACTGATTAATTTTCCTGTTTGAACATGCATATCATTGATTGTACTACATCTGTTCCTCCTCACTACCGAAAACCCTATTCATTCAGTGGGTTTACTCTTGGAGTAAGGTGATACTCAAGTGTGAGTACAGGCAGTGTAATCTGATCCTTGTTCAGAAGTAACTGAGATCTTCTGATATAGTAAAAAGAGGAATATTTTTTTCCAAGCTAAAAAGAGGTGACATTAAATACAGCTGTTAGATCCAAGTAATTATCAATGTATCTGACAGCTGGGGGGTGGTGTTCAGGACAAGAACAGACAAGGACCTGACAGGAGTAAACAAGGAGGAGGAGGGTTGTTTAATGTGCCTCAATTAGAAAAGCAAAGAAAAAAGCAAAAATAAATGGAATATGAGGAATATATTCCTAACCCTAAGGTATCTGGAAGTCTGCCAATTCCCTGGGAACTGCAGAATTTAACTAGACTAAATGTTTGATGAACAGAGTGTAGGCAAAAATTCTGTGCTGGCAAAATGAGTGGTCAGATGACCCAAGAGGGCTTGTTTGCTGTCTGTCTTTTTAGGATGTATTTGCCAAAAGGAAGTAATGAACTTTTGAACTTTTCCTCAGCAGTGGGTAAAATCTGTCTAATACATCTGAGCTTCAGAATAACAGCAAGCATTAGGCCATGGCCCCAGGGATAAGTATGGAGCTAAGATACACTGTTGGAGGGTTAGACAAGGAGAGGAGGTTTTGGTTTAACTATGCCCATTGCAGGCTGGTTCATTGTAATAAATGTGTGGGTAGATTATAGGGGGTGTTGCTTGCTGGCTGCTCTCTCATGCTGGATATATACTGAAGTTGCTGCTGGAGATGCTGAGAAGGTAGTTCATTGTATAGGAGTACAGGGTAGGTATAGACAAGCTCTTCAGTTACCCTGCAGGCATTGGAGTACTATTCTATAATCTTGCTTCTGGGGCAAGCCAGATACTGCTGTGTAAACAGGAGGTTTCAACACAGATGGGTCCAGAGCATGGTAAAGCCAGGGAATCAAGACAGTCGGTACAGCTCTCTATACATCTGGGCACAGCTGTGTAGGATAGTAGTGGATAATTTTGTAGACAGCAGAGTAAAAGCAAGCAGGAGATCAGGCAGCAGCTGAAAAGAACAGGAGGGGATGGCAATACAGGCAGCGATATTCAGCCTTGCAGGCAGCTGGGTATGGCAGTGTAGGCAGATGGGTACAGCAATACAGGCAAGTTGTTCTCAGCGGGACAGAATTAAGAGAAGCTGGGAAGAAAACAAATCTTAACTTTTTTGCCAAGGTCCACTTGGAGGATTTTGAAATTAAACACAGCTCTTAAGTTGTGAGCTGAGTGGGCTGACATGTCACTGGATCTGGAACTTAATCAAAGCAAGTAAACCTTTCCAGCTGGACTTTGGAAGATTGCATTGAAATGTTGCTCCATAGAAAGGTTATATCTTAATTTTTTAAAGGTGATAATCTTTGAAGAATACTGTCTGAAAGACAGATCAAAACTTCAGACATTGAATGGAGTGTGTTCTTATGTAAAGCATCCTTGGAACTGACACAGAATCTAGGCTGATAGTGAGCATGGGAGCTAAGTGAATAAAGAGCATTTTTAAATAGTAATGTCAAATGAAAATGATATATTTTGAAGAAAAAGTTTCCCCACTTCTGTTATTAACATTGACCTAAATTGTTAAAAACAAAATAAATGATCAAATCTAACTTACTCGTCACTATGCTCTTTATTTACTTTTTGCACTTCCTCTGGCTGGGCAATGAAAAATGGGTTAGTTCTTTTCAATTTTGTTTCTAATCTGTTTCTCTTGCCAATTTTCTTTTCAGGGTCCCCTTTCCTAGAAGGATGTTGAAAGTTCTATATTCATGTGTATTAAATGCAATATTTTAATGGCAACAATATTGCTGTTATATTTGATAAAAGATTATTCTTCCAAAACCCGAAATAGAAGCCAGATGTGACCAGACATTTTCAACTTTCAGTTCTTCTAAATAACCCAGCTCAGCTTCCCAAATTTAAGCACAAGAATAGTTCCTATGGGTCAGATCTTCAGCTAGTCTAAATTGTCAGAGCTCTGTTCGAGTCACAACTGAGGATATACCCCATTAACTTTAATTCTTAAATTCAGAATGCACTTAAGTGTCTTGCTGAACTGGAAGAGGAAATCCTGACTCTGCACTGGTTTTGGGTGATATCATATCAGGATATGGTTACTCAGCATTTGGATCACTCAACCTGTGCAAAACCCTTTTAAGACACTACAGCCAAGCAATCCCATTTTAGGTTCAGAGCCTAACATATGAAATAGAAATGATTGTTTTGATGACTTAAAGAATATGGTATAAGGCATGAAGACTTCCATTTCTCAGCTCCCAGTTTAAGTAGTGATGACCAGTCATGTACTATTGTAGTCCTCATTTAGAAAGGAATTCCCTTGATTTCAGTAAAATGACTTGTGTGAGCATGTAGTACAGGAGTGAGTGGCAAAGGTTGTGTTATGCTGTTATCAAATAGGTATTAGCTGCTCTACTGTATATAAAATGAGCAAGTGGTTCCATGCTGTTTCTAGGGGCAAATGGGCTACATCAGATTGAGGCACATAGCAGGGTTGTGTGGGGAACCTGAGTGACTGCCATTTCCACAGCTATCAATCTTGTGCCTGTTATGTGTATTTAACAATGATTGAACCCTGTCTCCTGGACAAAAATTCATATTAGTTATGATGATTGTGTATTCATTATTACACTACAAAATGAGTTAACTGCTTTAAAAAGTTTGGAGGTTGGAGGGAAATACTAAAAGCACAGCTCAGGTTCTCTCCCATGGCAAACTTCCTCTACACAGATGTGCCAGTGTACCTTCTTCTACAGTAATGATTCCATTCCATAGGTGAGGGATGCCTCTGATACAGGCTTGCATAGTCAATATTCTGGGTATATATGACATCTGATGAAGTGAGCTTAAGTTGACAAAGGCTTGTGCTTTTTATATATATCTTTGGTTAGTCTATAAGGTACATGTCTACCCTACCTTCTGCCTGATCCCAGCCTAACATGGCTAGTAACTACCCTTAAATACCATGAAATGTTACATGTCATTAGTGATATTTAACCAATGACAGTTTAAACTAAAACTGTTATTTGCTGTGCTCCCCTGCAAGCTCATCCAGTATTGGGTATTTCTCCCAGCATCTTTTAATTGTAGCTACAAATCCAGAGTTACCTAAGGATTAAGTTATTTTGCTGCCGGGTATGGCCACTAAGATTTTTTGAACAAAAGGTGTTACATATAGAACTCGAATCTTTCTGTTAAATGATCTAGGCTCTACCACTTCAGTTAAAAGAAATTCTTCTTCAGTTGTTAGCATTGTCTCACTTAAATCCTGTTTTAAGGGCTTAAATTAGCCTCTAGATTGTGGACAGGTTATTTTCCACTGTCTGTGCAGGTTGACATTCCCTTTTTGTGACTGTCATGTCTCCATTGTATTTGCATCGTTTTATATTTATTTCTACAATAATACAGTATACTTCAGGAGGTAATTTACCTTCAAAGCAGCAAGTCAGATTGTATGAAGGAACACGCCAATTATAATCCATGTGATTTACACCTTGGCATCATTGTTCATGCTTGAATACTTCCCTTACTTGAATCCTCTCTTTCTATTTTTCTCTCTCTTTCTTTTCTTCAGGTGATCCAGTTCCTGGAAGAATGGAGATGTTACCACCACCAAGCATGAACCTGCCAGAAGAAATCCAGCATCCATACACTAAGTTTTCAGAATGGAAATTCAAGCTGTTTAAAGTAAGACCATTTGAAAAGACACCTCCTGGGGATAGCCAAGTGGTAAATAAAGATAAAGCAGAAGAGGTGTCCTCTTTGGACAAAGGCAGTGTGCTACATATGGATGCAGTAATCCCAGTGATGGATAAACCGGTTGTGGTACAAGCAGAATTAAAAGGCACTAAGCAGACACTTGAAAAAGATGCCAACAATCTGAAGATGCAAGATAATGCAACACATCAAGCAAATCTGGAGGCACTTTGCCGCATCTGTGGAATTTCATTCAAAACTGACCGCTACAGAAGAAGTTATCCAGTGCATGGACCAGTGGACAATGAAACTCAGGGGCTTTTGAGAAAGAAAGAGAAAAAAGCAACATCTTGGCCAGATCTTATTGCCAAGATCTTTAAGATTGATGTGCGAGGAGATATTGACACAATTCACCCTACTCGATTTTGTCACAATTGCTGGAGTATCATTCAGAGAAAGTTCAGCAGTTCCCCATATGAGGTTTATTTCCCGAGGAACAGCACCATGGAATGGCAGCCTCACTCCCCAAATTGTGATGTTTGTCACACTAGCTGTCGGGGGATCAAGAGAAAGAAGCAGCCGCCGAACTTACAGCTTGCAAAACGATTGAAGATCATTGCAGAACGTGCTCGAAAAAACAGGTGTGGAAAGAACCAAGGAAAGATAAACAACAAGAACCTCATGAAAAAGATTACCAACTGCAAGAAGATACATCTTAGCACAAAGCTTCTTGCAGTTGACTATCCAGTAGATTTCATTAAGGCTATCTCTTGTCAGATCTGTGAGCACATTCTGTCAGATCCAGTGGAAACAACGTGTAGGCACTTATTCTGCAGAACCTGCATCCTTAAATGTCTCAAAGTTATGGGCAGTTATTGCCCCTCCTGCTTGTACCCTTGCTTCCCTACTGACCTAGTGACCCCAGTGAGATCCTTCCTAAACATCCTTGATGCTCTGACTCTGAGATGCCCAGTGAAAGAATGCGATGAAGAGATCTTGCTGGGGAAATATGGTCAGCATCTCTCCAGCCACAAGGAGATGGAAGGGAAAGACGTTTACACACACATAAATAAAGGGGGGCGACCAAGACAACACCTTCTGTCCTTGACCAGAAGAGCTCAAAAACATCGTCTGAGAGAACTCAAGCTTCAAGTCAAAACATTTGCTGAGAAAGAAGAAGGGGGAGATATAAAGGCTGTTTGCATGACTTTGTTTTTGTTAGCTCTCAGAGCAAAAAATGAACACCGGCAAGCAGATGAGCTGGAAGCTATAATGCAAGGGAGGGGCTCAGGGCTTCACCCAGCTGTTTGTTTGGCAATTCGAGTCAATACATTTCTCAGCTGTAGTCAGTACCATAAAATGTACAGAACTGTAAAAGCTGTCACTGGGAGGCAGATCTTCCAGCCATTGCATGCTCTTCGCACTGCTGAGAAAGCCCTGCTCCCAGGTTATCATCCATTTGAGTGGAAGCCTCCTTTGAAAAATGTGTCTGCCAATACAGAAGTGGGAATTATAGATGGGCTTTCAGGCCTGCCACACTCAGTTGATGACTACCCAATTGACACAATTGCAAAGAGGTTTCGATATGATGCAGCCTTGGTTTCTGCCTTAATGGATATGGAAGAAGACATCTTGGAAGGCATGAAAGCACATGACCTGGATGACTATTTGAATGGTCCTTTCACTGTGGTGGTGAAGGAGTCTTGTGATGGGATGGGAGATGTCAGTGAGAAGCATGGATGTGGACCAGCAGTCCCAGAAAAGGCAGTTCGCTTTTCTTTCACCGTCATGACCATCACTATAACTCATGGCAATGCAAATGTAAGGATCTTTGAAGAAGTCAAGCCCAATTCAGAGCTATGTTGCAAGCCATTGTGTCTTATGTTAGCTGATGAGTCAGACCATGAGACTCTGACAGCCATCCTGAGCCCTCTCATAGCAGAAAGAGAGGCCATGAAAAGCAGCGTACTACTTCTTGAAATGGGAGGCATCCTCAGAACATTCAAATTCATCTTTAGGGGTACGGGGTATGATGAGAAACTTGTGCGTGAGGTGGAAGGCCTTGAAGCTTCTGGCTCCACTTACATTTGTACCCTCTGTGATGCAACCCGCCTAGAAGCCTCTCAGAATTTGGTCCTCCACTCCATAACAAGGAGTCACGCTGAAAATCTAGAGCGATATGAGGTGTGGAGGTCCAACCCATACCATGAGTCCGTTGATGAGCTCCGTGATAGAGTGAAGGGTGTTTCTGCAAAACCATTTATTGAGACTGTTCCCTCTATAGATGCATTGCACTGTGACATTGGCAATGCAGCTGAGTTTTACAAGATATTCCAGTTTGAGATAGGTGAAGTCTACAAGAACCCTGATGCATCTAAAGAAGAGAGGAAGAGGTGGCAATCAGCTCTTGACAAGCACCTGAGGAAGAAGATGAACCTGAAACCAATAATGAGGATGAATGGAAACTTTGCTAGAAAGCTCATGACTAAAGAGACAGTGGAAGCAGTTTGTGAATTAATCAAGTGCGAGGAAAGGCATGAAGCCCTCAAAGAATTGATGGATCTCTACCTGAAGATGAAACCAGTGTGGAGATCTTCATGTCCTGCCAAGGAGTGCCCAGAACTGTTGTGCCAGTACAGTTTCAACTCACAGCGTTTTGCTGAGCTCCTATCCACAAAGTTCCAGTATAGATATGAGGGCAAAATTACAAATTACTTTCATAAAACTCTTGCTCATGTTCCTGAAATCATAGAAAGAGATGGGTCCATTGGTGCCTGGGCAAGTGAAGGAAATGAATCTGGGAACAAATTGTTTAGACGTTTCCGAAAAATGAATGCCAGGCAGTCAAAATGCTATGAAATGGAGGATGTCCTGAAGCACCATTGGCTGTATACATCTAAGTATCTGCAAAAGTTCATGAATGCTCATAAAACATTGAAAAGCCAGGGCTTCACAGTTGATCCAGAATACAGTTTAGAAGACTCCCTGGAATTGGAAGACTCTTTGGAAACCAATAATTCTATGGAATTCTAAATGTAATGAGCATTTGGAATTGGTTAACAATGAAGTCTTCCTTTAAGGGGGTGCAGTAATGTCTGCAAATTCCACTTTTACACTGGGCATTAAAGGGAATCTGTCCCTGCTTCGAGGAGTTTGGCACAATTCTTTTCTGGAAAATAGGTGCCAGAAAAATATGATGCATCAGTGCTGGTGTCATTTACCTGCCATTTTGTCAGGTAAAAGTGGAAAGAAATGTTCTTCTTTGGTCTCAGATATTTGTCTGATACATAGCCAAGTTGAACAAGGTTTTAGACAAGGTGATGCAGGTTGAACATGATTATGAAGAGTTATGATGATTGAAAAGATTAGGATGGGTGTTCCTTTTATTTACATTATTGCATTTTATCTACTTATAAGCTGGTTTTATTTCTTTTTTAATCAATGGACCTTTGGTTTTTAGAAACAGGGATTTAACATGGAGGCTTTTAGGCATTCATTTTGAGATAAAGGCTCAGTTATTTTTGTATAAAACAATTCACTAAAGGTACAAAAGTTGATCTTACCTGTTGATTTAAATTTTTTTTTAATTAACATTTATTTTGTGATAGTGCCTAGATGCACATCTAAGTACAGGAAAAGTAGCCAGAATTTTAGAATTATATCTAAAATACAGGCCAATATGTTCTAAAAATCAGGCTTGATCATGTGTTCCTAAATCAGACTTTACAAGAGAGTATATTTTTCTCTATGCATTGTCTACATTCAAGTGATGCTATAAACCTGGCTATCAGCTGGCAACCACAAGGAAGAGTTTGTTCAGTGAGCATTCTAGATTTCTAGAGTTAGATCCTAACTGGTGGGTATATATAACCTTTCTGGGTTAAATCCTGGCCTCCCATTGTTTTCAAAAAGACTAGAATTTCACCACTTGATGTTAATGGAGTTTCCTTTATATACACAGGCTGTGGAGACAGGCTATTGTGGTTGCTCAGCTCCGTTACATTATCCGATAGGGACATATTTCACAGATCACTTTTACTGTGTTCTAACTCTCCTTCTGATATTGACCCTCTTTGTCTCCTGGGACACATCACTTACCTTCTCTGCCTCAGTTTCCATGTCTCTAAAATGGGAATAACAATTACCTACCTCAAAGACTTGTTGTGAGAATTAGTTAATATTGATAGTCTTTGGGAATTAAACTGCTTTATATGTGTTAAGTAGTATTATTTCAATATTTAGTCAACACAGAGAAGCAGTTTACATTATAGTGAAGGCACCATTATTATGAATTATTTACTTTTATAGTGATATTGCTACATGCAGCTATAGATACAGATATACATGCTATATAAAGAAAGAGAATTTGAGTAGATAATACAGGAAATTTAATTCTTGCAGGTTATAAATACCCAAGTTTTAATAATGACCATGAGGCAACTAGAAATACTGAGTAATTTGTTTGAACAGTATTGTGAGATTTGGTACTTCAGTTATTTCTGAACGTACTCAGTGAATGAATGTCTAAATTTGAGAGTCAACAAAACTCTTAAGCACATGCTTAAATTTAAGCATGTGACTGGTCTCGTTGTACGTAATGTGATTACTCAGAAACTTGTTGATTGGAACTTATAACTATGATTTTTTTTAAATCACTGACTAATTCATTTTAGAAAATCATAACATGTATACTATAACTTATCAGGAAATATCATTGAAAACTCCTAAGTTACTGTGGCTCGTGCTCCTAAATCACTTATGCAGTTTATAAATTCTCACTCTTACCATCTAATGCCTAATGATTTATTGAGGCATTTTAATGTTTGGAAAATTAATTTTGGAACAGGATTAAATGCACAAATATTTACACCATATGCTGTTTTCCTTAAATTAAATTCTGCTTTTGTTTTCTGTTTTTGATATGTTGTTGATTCCCAAGTAGAAATGAATAATTGAAGCCAACAGTTTTTGGCTTTTTTGTAGTAGTTTGTTGTGCTTATATACTATATCTTCAGGAATTTTGTATTTATCACTTATGGCCAATGTATACATAGAGCTAGTGTTGGTAATTTAGACATATGCGGATAACTTGATGATATTGGCTGAATTGAATATTCATTTTAAAAAATATTTTATCATTTAGATTTAATGCTGAGTATATTTTTGAAACAGTATTTTAGAAGTCTCAGCACTTTGAGTGCCAATAATCAATAGCTTTTTAGAATTTCTTGTTTCTAGATTATTTGCCATAAATACTGCCCAGAATAATACCTTTTATATATTTCACAACATGATTTTCAATTTATGGGAATGCTGATTTTGAAACTTTTATTATTTTTCCCAGATCAAACTCCCTTTTTTAATTCCTATTGATGGTAACAATTATTTCCCATGAACCATAAATATCAGGTTTACATAGAGTCACGTTTTTGTAAATAAATGCATTTACATGTTTTTGGTTTTTTTGGGATTATGTCTGTATGCAAATAGCTGTATCCATTTTTCCCATCTGCATGTTTATTTTCTGTGATGATAATATAGCCTATGTTTTCTACTTGAAATTGTTTGATTAACACAAGGGTCAAGCCAGCAATCCTTTCTTGTACATTGTTAAATTCACCTCTGTGCAGTCTGTCAGTTAAATCTTTAATGGGATCTGAGTGGTGTATTGAGGTTGGGCTGATCCTCTGCATAGGAAGAAGTTTCAACCACAAGTGGTCCTTACTCACATTGGTAGTTCTGAAGTCAACAGGCCACATTCTGTTCCTTTTTTACAAGTGATCTCACTGATTTGCCTGAAATTCTCCAATCCCAAAGCTCCTTCAAAATCTGCTCATGTGCAAGCAAGTGGGATTTGATCCAATGAGGTCTCAAGAGGCCTCATTGTAAAGATTTCTTACATATTTAAGGATTTATAAGACTGGGGGAGGAGGGGGGGACTCTAATGTAATTCAGTACACTGAACAGTATACAGACTGGGACCTAGATGTGCAATAGCATGCAAACACATCCTTCTGTCGTGTATCAGTGTTGAAATCACACTAGTCACTCAGCAAGACACGCTACATGTATAACAGATCTGGAGAGTGTGGATGACATGAAAATCAAATGTCATTTTTCTTATTTTTTTTACACAAACTTGAATTTATTCTCAGCTTTTTCCGTTGTTGTCATCTAATTTAAATCAAGAGACTTTCGGCTGGAGAGTTTTGAACTCATTAAAACAAATAGAATTCAAATGCTAAACACCTGCAAGTGAAGCTTCTGTAAACAGGGAATAGAAAAACAATATTACAGCCACAGAAGCATGCATTTGAATGCAAGTAATTTTTGATTGCAGAGAGATGCACCATGTGTTCACTCAGCCTATTGTTAAACCCTTTGATTTTGAAGAGGCTTTAGATAAGTGGAGACACTTGTATTCATTTTGTTTTTTCGTAAATCATATTTTCTTTTTACTCTAATAACTGGTATAAATACCTCAGTGATTTCTTTATGGCAGATATTTTTCTTGTGAAATTGTACTGAACTTCTGATATTTTTTGTCAGTCATGTTTCGTTTGAAGTCTTTTATAAGAATTTAGTAAAGGCATGTTTAGTTTTGCTGTGAAATATGTAGAATGCTGGGGGTTGGAGTCTGCTCCTGCACCATTTTATCACTGACTTCAATGTAATCATTCCTGATTTACCTTGTGGCAAAGGAGTTTGAAGCCAGCCCCTTGGTAGTTTCAACAACCTAGTTTCTGACTCAGATAAGATGCTTTCAGTGCATTGTTACACAATATTTGTCTAGAATATTTTATGTTTACTTACTGTATGCCAGTTTCTTTATTTTTAATATTTGATTTAAATAAAGTTCTCATAAATATTTACATTTCTGACTTTCTGTTTCTTGGACAGTTTTCACTCATCCTTCTTTTTCATTCGAATAGGCTAAGTACAGACAGTTAAAAAGCCTGAGGTTGAACTGATTCAGTTTTTGAAGGTTAGTCAAAGCTATGTATAGTTAACTGATAAGCGAGTGAATAGACATTCACTTTTGATTTCAGAAATGCAGCTACATGCCTGCAGTGGCCCAGGCCAGAAGCCAGGGGTGGAGGGGCAGTGCTAGAGCATGCCTTCCTGCTCGTCTGGAGCAGACTGCTTGAGCCAAGTCTAGCCCACCCACCCTGAGGCGGGGAAGGGTAGTGGGGGAAGTGGAAAGCATCCTGGGATGCTGAGGGACTGTGAGTGAACTTGAATCTGGAGGGGATCTGGGACAGAAGTTTAATAAACCAAGTTAATCAAAAACATTTTTTGATAGGGTGCTGTCTTGAGGCTGGTCACCAAGTTGGCCTGCCCACCTGCCCACCTGCCATGTCTTGATGTATGAATAACTGACGTAAAGTGCAGGAAGCTGCCCATAAAGGCCTGATGCCTGAGGTGTTATACATGGTTCCAACCTCCCCTATACAGTGTCCCATGCCTCGCAAATCGTATCAAAAGTATACACTCTGCCTCAGACTTACTCTGCGCCTGGGCCTCCTGTCCTCTCACTAGGGCTCCAACTTATGCCCCTTTCACTAGGGTCTCCACTTATATTATTGAATACTTGGAATTGGCCAGTGCACAGTCCCTCAGGCCACACAGACCCTACTCTGTGTACCCCTGTGCAGCCCTTTAGGCCTGCCTACATGGGCCCTACTCTGCACCCTCATGTGCAGCCCTTCATGCCGCCCCTGTGACCCACCTCTGCACAGCCTACTATGTACTCTTTGCCCCCTCACCAGGGCCACTATTCTGCCTCCTGGCTGGGGCCACTACTCGGTCCCCCTTCACTGGGGCAAAGGGGTCTTACACCCCATGGGACTCAGGTGTCTGTAGACATGTCTGGACCCTTAACCTGTCTGTGGTATGGGGTTACCCACCAGGTTGTGGGGGTTGTGGCTATAAGCCACTCCATACTCACCTTTCACTAGGGAGGTACCTGGTGTGGCATTTCCTGGAGACCACCCCACCACAGACAGCCCCACCACACCATCCTACCCTAGCACGGTGTAGTTTGATGTCATTCCCCAGGATCAGGAACCTTCTCCATCGCCATAATTCCTGCACTGTACCTCCAAGATGTTATGCAATATTCCCACTCTAACTGATTGCAGCAAACTGCTGGCTCCACTATTCAGGGCCTGCTCTTATCACTAGCAGCTGTGCCCTCTTCCCAATCAGGTGGCCTTCTGCTGGCCATGTGACTCCTGATTGGGAGTCCAGCCACATGCAGGCTGCTCTCCTGTGTGTTTTAGCCCTTAAAGTGGCAGGCACCAAAGGTGCCCTGTCACACAGTTAAGTCTGATCCTGGATCCATCCTGGTTTATCTTAAACAGGTTTTGTCACTTTGAAAGTGATTTATGTGTACTGAACTTCTGTTGCATTACATATTTGAACTGGTTTCTGATCAGTCATACCAGTTTATATGTAATTTCTGTCCCTAGCCCTAAATGATCATTTGTCAGTGTTCATGCTACAGTGATGCCCATAGATTGCAGTCTGGATGAGGTCCTCATTCTGGCAGCCACTTACATATAACAATTACATCCAGAGTCCCATGAGCCCCCTTCACTACCTTATTACCTCATAGTTTCATAGTTTCTAGGATCGGAAGGGACCTGAGTAGATCATCTTGTCTGACCCCCTGCCATGGCAGGAAAGAGTACTGGGGTCAAATGACCCCAGCAAGGTGTACATCTAGCCTCCTCTTAAAGACCCCCAGGGTAGGAGCCAGCACCACTTCTCTTGGAAGTTGGTTCCAGATCCTAGCTGCCCTGACTGTGAAGTAGCGCCTCCTGATATCTAGCCTCAATCTACCCTCTGCCAGCTTGTGACCGTTATTCCTGGTCACTCCTGGTAGTGCACAGGGGAACAGGGATTTCCCCAATGTCTGCTGGTCCCCGCTGACTAGTTTGTAACAGGCCACTAGATCCCCCCTCAGCCTTCTCTTGTGGAGGCTGAACAGGTTCAGGTCCCATAGCCTCTCCTCATAGGGTCTGCCCTGCTGCCCCGATCATGTGAGTGGCCCTCCTCTGGACCCTCTTCATGTTGTCCACATCCCTCTTGAAATGCAGCGCCCAGAACTGGACGCAGTACTCCAACTGTGGCCTTACCAGTGCTGCATAGAGGGGGAGGATCACCTCCTTGGACCTGCTTGAGATGCACCTCTGGATGCATGACAAGGTGTGGTTGGCCTTCCTGCATCCCCACAGTGCCGGCCCATGTTCATCTTGGCATCAGTGATGACTCCAAGATCCTTTTCTGCCTCTGTACTGATGAGAAGGGAGTTCTCCAGCCTGTAGGTATGCTGCTGGTTCTTCCTCATGAGACAATGAAATGAAAAACAAAGACAAAATAAAATTCCCTACTACTTCTGGTAGTTCCTTTGGAAAATAACATCCAATCTTGGTTTAAATTAATCTTTCTTGCTCGAGACACATTTATCTTTAGGCCTCCATATTAGCTTCCTCCTGTCATCTGCATCAAATCCCAATTCTCAATTTCAAAGATGACTGAAGAAATACTTTTAGTTCTTCACTATTTCACTGCCACCAATTACTCCCCACAAGTTATGGAATCTTCCTTCCTATTACAGGCATATCTTGGTGTAAAAAATATACATTTCAAGTACATTCAGAGGAATCAACCGGGACAAAAGTTGACCGTTTACAGGGTTAGCAACAGCTTATAATTTCAGTTACCTGGGTGACATGTAACCAAGTATATAAATGCTCTACTTTGTACATGCAATGTTATACTTTTAATTAACACTTGGGTACACAATCCAAATAGTGTGTGCAAAAATAGAGCCCATTAAAAACAAAAAACAAATGTGTAGCTCAAAGAATCTCCTGGTTAATTTGAACTAGCTTAATATCTTGGCTGAGTATCTTCTGCATATCCTTACAGCATCAGAATCCTGGGGAACCAGCAGATGCTAGTAATGAAGTACAGTGTCTATCATATCTATGCCATTGATTCAAATTCAGCAGGTTATTCAATTTGGCTTAATTTTTCAAAGCCTTTGAGCATCTGCAGCTCCCAACAGCTCTGGCAGATTTTTACCTTTGACATTAGACTAAATTACCATAGTTCTTATTAGCATTGTCTATAATACAAAACTTTATCAGAAAACGACTTCCCTGGTTAGCAATCTCAGGACAGAGGCCAAGAAGCGAAGATGCTTGGATTTTGAACTACTACATCAGTCCAGAAGTGACCACTTTAACTCAGTTTATCAAAATAGCTTGCTGTTTATGAGTGGTCACAAAGATAGTGAAGGATATATGACTGCTACAAGTTTAATTTACATAGTAGAATGTTTCCTCCTTCTACAGATACATACATATGCATGGAAGAGATGTAAGTTTATTAGCCAACTGTATTTTTTTCAAAAAGTGAGCACTGATTTTGGGTGCTCCATTTGGAGCATCCAATTTAAGTTTACCTTATGGGACCTGATTTTCACAGGGTAACAGTTGTGTATGTTCTCAGAAGCCAGGCCCCTTTCAGTTCTCTGAGGCTCAGCACCCCAAATCAGAGCACTCAGAATTGCTAGTCATTTTGGAAAATGTGGGTTTAGGGTTTTTTTTTGTAGCACACTGATTTTTTAAATATAAGAATGAAGGCACCTTGGCAGGGAGATGTGTTGGAGGGCTCTAATGTTGCTGTTATGCTATGCCTGTTCTGTGGATAGACAGGACACTTCAGATTGCAGGCACTTGTTGCAAGCACTACAGTCAGTAAATAATTCTCTTAATAAAAACAACGTAGTGGGCTCTGGGGGTTTTGCAGTGGTGCTTTAATTAGAGTGGCTCTAAGAGCCGATTTATTTAAAGCACCCGCAGCATTTCATGTATTCAGCAGTCCGTGCTTCAAAATGGCAGCAGGGTCACTTTAAAGCTTGTTCAATGAGCTTTAGTTAGTGCCCCCACTGCCATTCTGAAGCACAGGGACACTGCTTACACAAGATGCAGAGGGTGCTGCAGTGCACTAATTAACATGCTTCAGCAGACTCGATTAATCAAATCTGTTCCAATGCTAGGGTTACCAAACCTCCAGGATGATTGCCCTGGAGTCTCCAAAAATTAGATATAAATCTCCAGGATACTGCTGAAAGTCACCCAGGAGATAAATGATAAGGAATCCATTAAAATAAATATTAAATGTTGAATTCAATTTATATCATAGTCCAGTGGGTTTTTAAAATGTAATAGTAATGTGCATTTCCCTTCCTGATGTAAAGACTTTAATGGAGGGATGGGCAATTATTTCAGGTGGAGGGCTGCTTACTGAGTTTTGGGAAGCCATCGAGGGCCTCATGACAGGCAGCTGGGGACAGATAAATATCAATTTTCTAAATGTTTTAGGGGCCCCATGGGCCAGATAGAATGGCCTGGCAGGCTGCATCTGGCCTCCGGGCCACATTTTGCCCACCCCTGCTTTAATGCTATTATGTCAGGTAATGAAACCTCCCAGAATAGATTCAAACAGAGTTGGCAACCCTGTCTGACATGCTGTAATTACAGTGCATTGGAACAGCATCCCCACGCATCTACAGGCACCCTATGTTCATAAATTGGGATTGGAGGCCAGAATATTGCCTACTGTGGCTACACAACTTATAGGTCAGATGGGTGCAGATATAGGGGAGATTTATTTACCTATACACACAGATTTATTGCATTTATCTGTTTGATCTGTTTGATCAACCCTATATAAAAAAGGAACATCTATTGATTAGCCATCTTTCTGAGCCTAACAATGCTTTCCCACAATACACATCTGCCTCCCTGTGTCATCTGAGAGAGATAACAGAATTCATTATGTTTTCTAACCTTAAAAGCTACACTGAGCATTTCTGCAATAATGACTGATGACATATTGCAGCCTCTTCACAGTTGCCATGGGGCTACTCTATAGTTCAGAGTAGCAAGAGAGTTTAGGACTAGTCTTCCAATTTTAATTTAGTAATTCTTCTGACTATTATCTCATACTGAAGGTGGTGGTGGTGTAGGCCTATGCAATAAGAGTCACATATGCCAGCTCCACGTTAAGGTTATTCTCTGAGTATTTTAGGCTTGCAAATGTTGATCTGATAGTTTGCTTTGTTAAAAGTGATTGGAAGAGTAATAAAAATAAATTACAAACTTGTATAAACTGAAATAAAAGAAACTACTGTATAAAAAGTTGGTAAAACATTGTGCTAATTAACTTTGAGCATGTATTTTCCAGTTTGAATTCAGTCTTCCCTTTCTGCTTTGTCTGAGCTGCAGTTTACATTTTAATGCTTTCCAAATGCTGCAGAGTCACCTGTGGGGAGGATAGTTTCATAGTTGGTAGGGTCGGAAGGGACCTAAGTAGATCATCAAGTCCGACCCCCTGCCATGGGCAGGAAAGGATGCTGGGGTCAAACGACCCACGCTAGGTGACTGTCTAGCCTCCTTTTGAAGACCCCCAGGGTAGGAGCCAGCACCACTTCCCTTGGAAGTTGGTTCCAGATCTGAGCCGCCCTGACTGTGAAGTAGTGAATCCTAATGTCTAGCCTGAATCTACTCTCAGTCAACTTATGGCCGTTATTACTTGTTACTCCCGGTAGGGCTCGGAGGAACAGGGACTCTCCCATAGCCTGCTGGTCCCCCTTGGCCAGTTTGTAGATGGCCACCAGATACCCCCTCAGCCTTCTCTTGTGGAGGCTGAACAGGTTCAGGTCCCATAGCCTCCGCTTATAGGGACTGCCCTGCTGCCTCCTGATCATGCAAGTGGCCCTCCTCTGGACCCTCTCCATGTTGTCCACATCCCTCCTGAAGTGTGGTGCCCAGAACTGGACTCAGTACTCCAACTGCGGCTTGACCAGTGTCACATAGAGGGGGAGGATCACCTCCTTGGACCTGCTCGTGATGCATCTGTGGATGCATGACAAGATGCGGTTAAGCCTTACTGACCGTGTCCCCACATTGGTGGGCCATGTTCATTTTGGAATCAATAATGACTCCAAGATCCTTCTCTGCCTCTGTGCTGACGGGAAGGGAGTTCCCCAGCCTGTAGGTATGGTGCTGGTTTTTCCTCCCCAGGTGCAATACTTTCCACTTGTCTGTATTAAAACCCATCCTGTTCTCATCTGCCCACGCCTGTAACCTGTCCAGATCTAGTTGTAGCCTGTTTCTTTCCTCCAGCGTGCCCACTTCTCCCCACATCTTAGTGTCATCCGCAAATTTGAACAAAGTGCTTTTCACCCCCTCGTCCAAGCTGATGAAGATGTTGAACAGTGCGGGCACTGAGGACCGAGCCCGGGGGAACCCTACTGCCCACATCCCTCCAGGTTGAAAATGACCCGTCGACCACCACTCTCTGGGTGTGGCCTTCCAGACAATTTGCAACCCATCTGACTGTGTAGGCATCAACACCACAGTCACCTAATTTCTTAATGAGAATGGGGTGAGAGACAGTGTTGAAGGCCTTCCTAAAGGATGAGATAACTGTGGCATGGGACTCAAAGGAAATTATGAAAGTCCTGCTCAAAGTAAACAAATCCTTTTGAAGTCAATGAGAATTCTAGGCATGAGGGAGCTGCTAAATCAGGCCCTTATTAGACCTGATAGACATTATAAACAACTTTTAGCCTTTGCAGGCAAATGAAAACAGCTATTTCCAACTTGCAATTTATAGTATTTAATTATCAACAGAGTAGGTGGAAAAACATAGAAAGCTCTTTTTATTAACGCTTTATTAATTCAGTATATGCTTTAACAGACACAAACAAGTTACATGTTGAGCTAATTGAAATTTTTCATGAGTTAGCCATGAATACCATCTTTAAAAATGAAATAAAACAAAATAGGTAGTCTGATTTTTGGACAAGCAACCTAACTTCAGCTGCCCATCACCTCTGAAAATCAAAGATCAGGTACCAAAATTAAGCACCCTAAAATGAAGGATTCCTAAATTAGAGGCCTTTTGAAAATGTCTTAAATTGATACAACAGACCTGAGCCACCACTGCATCAGTTCAGCTTAATACCAGCATAGTTTATTTCATTGTAGTTCAATAGATTAGCATAAAACTAGAGTAATGAAGCCAGGAATTTATGCCCTGTGTTTCTAGTTCCACTGACTGAGATGCCAAAACAAAATGTGCGACAACATGTTCCAGATTCTAACTCTATTCTTCACACCAGATAGGGCCTTACTTTCCATTCTATCAAATTCTATTAAAGTTAGTGGGTTATTGTGGATTAAGGTTATGTAAATTGAGCAAGGCTTTCAGGATCTGGCCTTTTGTGTTTTTTATAGCTCCTGCATAATGGAGCTTTAATTCTGATTGTAACCCCTGGATGGTACTATAATATATATTAGCTTGAGCTTTTAAATTAGATTGAAATTGTCTAATAATTACAATTAAAAATAATAATAAAGAGCACACTACTAGGATCTCTAATATTCAATATACTTGCAACCATCCTTGACTATCTTTGGCCTGTGACCTTATTTCATCTGAACGAAACATTAATCATTGGTGCAAATCTATTCAAATAACCGCCGAAGAAAGGATTTTTTCACTGGTGCCGTTATCCTCATGGTTGTTTTTCTCCGTAATGGCTTCATGGGCTGTTTTTTCAAAGGCAGCACCTTCTTAGGGGTTTGCAGCCCCTTAGCAAAATCCACATGCTCATTGCAGAAGTACTTGATATTAGCTTCTGAAAGATGTAAAAGCATGTCTTCAGACAGGTCCATACACTGAGCATGGACCCAGTGGCCATCTCCATTGGAACAGAGGATCATAGCTGGTTTGTTCAGTTCAGTTGAATAGAATGGCACCCAGGTGTTAATGTCTATATCACATTTGGCAGAGCAGTTTATCCAGTAGCCTGTTTCTGATTCATCATCTTCATCATCCTCATTGTAGGTGTCAATATCATCATCATCAAACCTGTTGGCTTCAGTGCTAAAACAGAACTCTTCTGAATCTTCAAATGGAGTGGAGTCCCCTGGGTCTTCTGTAGATGTCTGGCTAAAAGTTTGTGCCACCTGTTCTTCCTCTTCCTCACATTCTGCTTTACATCTCAAAATGTAAAAGTAGTTTGCATCTGAAATCAGCTGCCTGTTGTCCCCTGGTATGCCCAGCAAGACAGCCCCATTACCCATATTACTACCAAACCATATCTTGCAGTGCTTAATATCTGGTGTCCAATCTGGGGCTTCCCTTTCCTCAATCTCTATTTTGCTGTCTTCTACAGTGACTGTGTTGCAAACCATCCTTTTCTGGTTGTCAGCCATGTAGCCCCCGACAATGACAAACTCTTTGTTGCTTGTCTGTGTAACAATAGCACTGGATACAGAAATCCCCCCAGGCAAGATGGTGCAGCTCACAGCAGGGCTTCCCAGTGGGAGGTCAATTTTTAATCTGTACAGGTTGGGTGGTCTAATGTTATTTTCAAGGGAGTGACCTCCTAAGATATAGATAGTATCATTTCTAGTAATGGAAACATGGAAAGAAAGTCCATCCTGAAGCTCAGGAAGGACATATGAGGTACAGCATCCAAACCCCAAATCCACCAAAAACACGTGAGGCATACAATCTACCACACTATTCCATTTTTCAGTGGTCCTTTGTCCAAAAGGGACATACGATCTTCCTCCAAATATAACAGTCATGCTTTTACCTCGGCTACGAACTACATTAACTGTATGGCCATACCTAGCTTCAGGGACATCCCCAACTAACTCTTTCTCAGTGCATTTAAAAGTGCACTTCTTGCTGGACTTACTTACTATACTCATAACATAGATCTTACTGGAAAGGTCATTATTTGGTGTTTTCCCACCATGGATGATATATTGACATTTCTCAGACTCTTCATTGCCTTCGAGAATGCAGGTGGCAGGGTAGCGAAGAGGGGGAAGGTAGCAGGACTCCTTGGAAAAAAAAGCAGGCTTCAGTTTCATCTCATTCTTTTTTAAATCAAGGAGGAAAACGCCTGTGGGACAGGATCTCTTTGGCCAGCCTTTCTGTCCAAAAAAGAAGACTTGCTCATCAAAATTCAGAAGAGAAAAGCCTGGTTGAATCAAAGATGAATTATTAACAGTTGATATAATCTGTAGGGACATGATGTCAGGCGACTGGCTCATTTTATGGTCAGAATCTGGAAAAAAGAGATACATAAAACCACATGAGGCATTGCTTAAACAGGGACAGCTTGATTAAATCAACAACCAATTGGCTATGTGACCTTGGGTTAGTCATGTCAATCCTGCACCTCTGTTTTCCCTTCTGTACAATATTGACATTCACTTAGCTTTGTATAGTAATTTGAGATCTAGAAATAAAAAATGCAATATATTATGACAGCTAAGTTAAGAACCAAATAAGACATTACATTTCTATTGTAGTGCCAGAGCTGGGAAAAATACTGCAAAAATCAATGATGCTTTGTCTGAATTAAAAAAAAATGTATTAGAACTGTAACAATGACTCTCCTCTGTGAACGTATTGCAGAAGAGGTGTACTGGAGATGGGAAGAATGCTCACTGAAAAGGTGAATACTGAAGGTTATTCATGGAAAGCAAGTATTGAATATATAATTGTGACTGTTCAAACCAGAAACCTGATTCTAACAGTCCCGTTAGAATTCCTTTGTGCTGGCAGGGAAAGGAAACATACCATGGGGCTTGATCAAAAGTTTGCATTTTAAATTATTTATGGATGAACTGTAGACCAGGAATTAGCCATAGAAATTATTTAACACAACATTTTGAAAATCACAGTAAAGCAAGCTGCAATCTACAGATAGCTCATGAATAGAAAAAAGAAAATAATCCCCTGCAAAATCATTTGTTATAATTTTTTTTGCTGGTTTCTAGCTACCATATCACAGTTGTCTACATCAGCTTCTCTGTGGCGCAACTACAAGTTGCCTCACAATTTAACATGAGTGAACTGAGCAGGTAAATATTTCCTTGAAGTATATTCAGACTGAATGCAATGTAAGATAACTGTGGACAGTATTATTACATTCCTACAGATGCAGGGTAACATTGACTGCATTAATTAGGATTATATCCTGGAACTAGTGCAGTTCGTACTGGTAACGGTGGCAGAATCCAGTCTTCCGTGAGCGGTTTATTTCAATCTACATGGAGGTGTACTACCTTGGAGTGCATAGCCACAGGACTAACAAAAAGCTATGCACTTACTCTGTACGTAACACCAGGCAATGCTCAGCGATTACAGGAATAGCCGGCTCCTGACCATTCCTAAAGGCCTGTTTCCTTATGCCTTTAATAGCAGCCTTGAAATTGCGGGGCCTGAGTTATATCATTTGCCTTGTTGAAAAGGGTAGTGTCAACACTGATGTCAACAGGTAGGTGGTGGTTTTCAACCTTTTTCTTAGGCTCCAGGAGCCCCTCCATACACTGGAGGGGCTGCATGGGAAAGGCCAGCTCTTGGTTTTTGAGTGACATGGCAGTGAGATGCTGGGCTCCAGCAGGGCCTGGGTGCTCTAAACTCAAGGTTTTTCACAATAAGAGAGCAATTCGGCTGCTGCTGCTGCCAAGAACTCAAGAGAGCCCCATGGCTGTGGATTCCTACGTGAAATCTCTGGATTTCTCTTGCCAGTCCGGTTTGTGCACCGAACCGTGCCAAGGACCTCCAGGCACCCCGGGGTGCCGTCACACCCCTGGCTGGGAACCACAGGCCCAGTCATGAGCTCAGGGGGCTCAGTGGGGCCCACCGTGCCCCTGCACCTTGCCGCAGGGGCTCCACGCGCACTGCGCCCACAAGGCCCATGTCTCACCCCCCGCCCTAAATGGGGCGGCCCCCGCGCTGCCCCCACCCCCAGCACTGGACGCCGTCCCCGCGGCCTTCTGGGAAGGGTAGTTCTGTCCTTCGGGACACGGGGCCCTCCCCCCGCGGGCCGTG